TTTAAAATTATAAAAATTATTGAACATTTTATAGCTCTCTTTTTTCTATGAGATTCTATGTGTTATTTATTTGTAAATATATAAAATGAAATTTTTCAAATAAAATAGATTTAAGAAATTATATAAGCTTGTGTAGAAAGATACAGATTAATTTTACAATCGGATCAATGCAAGCAAAGGATAATGGGAAAAAATATTTAGCTTGATAATGAAGTAAATCGTACAACCTCGAAATAGATTTGATAAATGTAGAAATGCTAATCAGCAGAGAACACACTTTCTTTTTTATATAAAAAATTGTTTTTAATCCTGGAATTTATGCAGGTTAAAAATCTTATTATTATGCATTTATGCAAAGCTTATGCGTAATATTTCTTTTCGAAGGGATGATCCTGGAAGATCCATATTCTGCAATAAATATTTCGTTATTCGCGGATAATATATTAAAAAAAAAACACTAGGAAGTACTTAAAAAGAGCCGAACAAAAAAGAGATATTCGACGATTGAGTGGACAATAAATCGCTGGCGTGCGCGTGCAAAAATTTTCTTTCCGTTACTTGCAAATTCACGCCGATGTCAGCGATGAGGACAGAGGCTCTGGTCGGGAGCACTTAGAAAATCGATAAGCCCCGGCTCGCTTGATCCGCCGTTGGCTGCTGCCAGGCCATATCTTGATTAAAATCAGTGCCGCCGCCCGGTACTCTCCTTTCTTCGACATTTCCCCGCCGGTTCCCTCGTCGCCCACGCCATCGTTACAGCCATCGTCGCCGCCGCCGCCGCCGCCGCGCGATGAATCCGGTTAGTCTCGTTAACGTCCTAAGTCACCGAGAGTCTCGTCCGCGCCATTCCTCATCACTTTCTCTTTTACGAGACGTGGAAAAGATCCGGGGACGCCTCTCGCTCCGGGATGTTCGCTTGCAATCGAGCGTGATATCGGACGTTCGGCCGCTTCTGGTCGTCGGTTGACCGCATTGCACGATCTGCGCTCGACGAAAGTGAAAGCCCGCGTAACCGGTCGCATGCTGACCCCAGTCAGGAATGCATCTAGCGGTATTAATTCCGCTAACTTGCAGGGAGCGATCGCTGCTCGAATGCTTCAAATAGAGAGATCTTCCTTGCAAATCATAGACTTCGTTATTTTCGTACAGGTATCGAAGCTGACGTAACTTTTGCGGATACACCACGCTTTGTATGCAGAAAATGTGTGTTCTCCTAATGCGACGCACTTAGCCATCTCGCTTCGCGTTAAACGCTTGTTCGCACGAAAGCGGTCGAGCGAAAAGAGCGGATTAGTCTGATCGATCCTCCCTTGAACGCGCGGCATAAAGGATCCCTCGCACTTGATCGAAGTAATATCATCGCATCATCATTGTACGCTAACGAACCTTACCGCTCGCGGCGATGACATGCGTACATTTACGACGCACGCAATATGCCGAGGATGCCCCGGGCTAAGGTATTCCCCGTGGGTGAGGGGGTGGCCGTAAGACCGTACCTAAGATCAATGTGTGTCGGGGGACTACTTGAAGGACCTATGCGCAATCCGGAAGCTGATCGACAGAGAGATCGACAGAGAGCTAGAGAAAGAAAGAGAGAGAGAGAGAGAGAGAGAGAGAGAGAGAGAGAGAAATGAAGGAAGGGTATTGATAAGTGGGTGCTGTTTACCGAGCTCAAATGTTGACCGAACTCCCTCGTTCGTCTCCCAGCACCATATTCTGCTTTCAAACGAACCTTGCCTTCAAACGAGTTCACGGTGAACTCTCATTCGTGTGGTGGGCTAGTCAAACGACGCGAGTCTTCTAGCATCAACAAGGACATTGTTGAAATTAGTTTTACATTTTTTTTTCTCGGTAGGAAACATCTAAATAAATTATAGATAAAATATGTCGGATACAACTTCTCTTTCTTGCGTAAGAAATGCGAGAGATATATACATCCTTTCATGCAATAAAAATCAAAATTGATTCCGTTGATCCGGAAATACAAATTTCAAGTTGCATCGATACATCTTGAAGAAAAAAATGATATTAAGAGCAAATATCTTTTCAAGTATTTACAAGAGATGCGATTCAAATCACGCAAATCGAGAATATTTTTACTTAACGGAATGACAAGGTTACATATTTTTTTACATTTTGATATTATAGATTCGGAATATGAGTAAAAAAAATCGGATAAACTTGTTTGTTAAAAATTTCCGATTTTCCCAGCATAGAAGATTTCAAACATGGTCGCACACGAATATGATTCGTTATTTAATAGCTCACCACATCGTTGATTTCGCTGCCTCGATCGCTTGAAACCGATATACGGTTCGAATGTCGAGCGATTTCAAACTTTGATATAACGTGAAATCCTTTGAAAAAAGTACGCAATGAATTTAAATCCGTGTGAAAATCAAATCTCTCGAGATCCTAGGAAATATTACTCATACTATGCGGTGAGATTAAATTATAGTATATGTAGTTTTGATAATGATTTTCAAAGCAATATGTATATAGTTACAGTGTCTAATAAAAATATGATGTAATTTTTTAGCTGCTTATGCATATTACAATTAATATATTTGTTTTATTGTAATTTCCATAATAATCAAAATTTACATATTAAATTAAAATCGATATAGAATTTTATTTCTGAAAAGAAAAAAAAACGAACGTATTGACTATTCATTATTTCAGATTTATTCCTTAAAAAAACAACGCTTATGGTTTAATGCGTAACGCGTTATTGTATAATATTATTAATTAAATATTAAATATTATTAATTAAATATTAAATATAATAATATTATTATAAAATATAATAATATTAAAAATATCGATAGCAAGATATTCGTAGTCGTTTCCGTTGACGTACTTCGCGGAAGCGGATTGACGATCGAGACATTGTTGACGTCGCTGTTTGGAAATGACGCTGAAGGCTTTTATCCCATCCTTTTCGTCGTCCACCCCGTTCGGTACTTTCGTTGGCGGGGAACCCTGGGCGCTCGCGGGGGTTTCTTCGTTCATGGACGACGGTACCGCTTTGTCCGTCCAATCTCCCCGCTATAGCAGCAGGATATTACGATGATGCGACAATGAACGCAACGATCGCTATCTGCAATGTGCGTCCTGCGTAGGGGGAGGGAGAGGAAGAGAGAGAGAGAGAGAAAGAGAGGGAGGTAGAGGGGGAGGGTGGGTCGAGCCACCCTTGCGGATCCCGTGAACACGCGCGTGTATCTGTGTGAATGCTCTCGTATACATAGACTATATGCGCCACCGACTAAACTACCCCCGACTGACGCCTAAACCTGTTCCTCCCCTTTTATTATGGGCTGCGACGGTTATTGGATTGTACCGTGCTATTTGTTGGCTGCCACGCTAATGGATCCATAATCACCGGGACGAATTAACGCGCTACAACGACGCTAACGGGCCACTACTTTAAATACAGAAACGCCCGCACACGCCACTTATTCCACTGCACGGGCGCTTAAACGATCGCCGTCGAGAGAATTTTCGCAAATTGCGACGCTATGAAACGTTTCGTCTCGATGCGAAAAGATATTAAACGATATGACGAGTTATTATGTTTTCTATGTTAAAATTATATCAAATAAGGAATGAATGAAATAAAAAAAATGGCGTCTGACTGCGCTTGGTTTGTTTTACTTCGAAAACGTAATAGAACTTGTAATTTTATACCTTCTTATTCATTTATGATTTATGACAGCCTGAAAATAATTGACACACATTTTTACAAATATTTTTACAATCAATTACTATCAAATCAAGACAGGTAATTTCTAAAAATATTTCAGTCTTGACAGTCTTCAATTTTTAATTTTACGAGGTAAAATTACGCTATCATACATTACGCAAATAGTTTCTTCGAAATATATATATTTTTGAAATTTGCAAGTAAAAAATTTTATTCTGTATTTTTGTACTTATTTAATAAAATACTTTTCGATGTACATATTCTACATGCAAACACAAACACATACACATTGAATTTAAAGGAGGAATGGCCTTTCGCGCGAGTTTCATCGTCGGTTCCCTAGGGATTATGAGCTGAGTTCTAATCCGCTAATTTCATTCTTCTTTCCGAGTGAAATTTCTATCCTTCAGACATACTCTTACATAGAGTTTCGGCTTTTAAATTTATTCTTTTCCGAAGCGCGCCAAACGATCATCGGGGTTTTCGAGATCTCAAAGTCCAAACACACGCTCTCTGATCTTTACTGCCACGGCTGGATCTTCCGAGATATATGTATATACATTTGCAGCGTGCCCGGCTTTACGGGCCTGTCGAGCAAATGAAATGAAATTCATGCAAATCGCGGAACCGCGCCGACTTCCCTTTGCGCTGTCGAGGTGGCATCGCATCGGTTTTGTATCGGGGCGGCGATGCGTCCAACCTACATCACGAGGGTGAAACGTACTTCCTCCTCGGTCTCTCGGCCCACTGCTCGATTAGATAAAATTCGCAAACTAACTTGATCGTCTTTTGAGAAACTTTAATTAAATTATGTTATCGTGTCGTCGAAAAGTACGCGATATACAAGTGCGAAATACAGTAGACAAAAAAAATAAGAGGAACGAAGGTAGAAAATAGAATTAAAAAGAAATAAAATAAATTTAAAAAGTAAAAACAATTAAAATAAATTTTGATTGTTTATTTTATTTAAATTAATTTTGATATTTTATTTATTTTATTAAATTAAAATTAATTTTGATATTTTATTTTATCGTACAAATCTATAATTGTGAAATACTTGAACACAATTATTATTATATTTGCGTCTAATAGTTTTTTCGCTAAATAGAAAACAAACTACGTTGTTTAATTTTAAAATTGCGATCTACAAATAGTAAAATATATATTCTATGATAGAATATAGATAACAAATATGATATATAAAATAATAATATGGATGTTACGTGTATTCTTTTAATATTGGCTATTTTATATATATGGAAGAGCTGTAATAAGCATGTGTTATTTTTATTTCCAGGTTATGCCAGGAACGGACCCAATTACTATGGCACATTGATCGGACCTTTACAACAATACGCGCATGGTATTAAAGGTACAGTGTACGCCGTTGATGACGCAACGATATTTATAAAAGGATTTTCTTACGATGGCACCGGTCCGGATGCTTATTTCTGGGTCGGAAACACCTCTCAGCCTAATCCCGATGGTTATATCGTACCTTATCCCGAGTCTGATAGCAGTAGGTAATTACTGACGTTATTTATATTTAAAGCATTATATAAAATATTATCATATGTATATTTTACATGTGAGAGAATGTTTGATATATAAAATTGAGCGTATGTATAAAAAATGTTAACAAGTTGATCGCTTGATATATAAATCAATTTAATTTCAAATGTTATATTCAAAGATTTATAGCTGGTAACTAGTAACTAGAAAAATATAATAGAGAATATTAACCATTGAAGAACAAAAAAAATAATATATAATATTTGGATGTAACATCAATCAATTTGCATTAATTTGCTATTTGATTTTGTTTTTTGTTTATTTTACATATAGCAATTGAATAATTTTGTAGAGGATGTTTCTAAACTGCTTAGTGAAAATATATTAAAGCATCAGTAATTTTTGAATTATAAGCTATTTAAAAGAAAGAACGACTTTTCAACTGAATTTTGTGGAAAAGTTAACAAAAGTTAACAATTATATTCTTCGGCGAGAAGAGGAGATGGAATTTTATAATTTTAACAGATTTGTTGCGGCTTAGTTATAAAGAAATAAAAACAAAACTCGAAAAACGACTTTTTGAATTGAGTAAAATCTCTTTTGCTCAAATTGAGCAGAACTTGCTGTTAAAAAAATATTTTATTAGATTTTGAAGTATTCTATGAAAGATTGACAATCAAATTATCGTTAATGTAAAAAGAAGATAATTTACGATATTTTATAGTACACAACATATATATTTATGCGCGCTACAGTGGACAGGAAGCAGCCAAGTAGAAACGTAATAAAGCGCTCGCGCAGATGAGATCCGGACGAGATTGGCGTATAATTCCCGTTTTATTAACTGCACTCTCCCGCGTATCACGACTCATTCGCGTTTGGGCCTCCTTCTGCTTTCGTTCCCTGTCCTCCCTCTGTTTCCTCCTTTCCGCATATAAGCACCGCGCCGCGTTACCCTCCGTCGCGCCCGCAACGGGCTCTTTGAATTTCATTTCATCCCTTGGTTACGGACTGCCGCGCGCATTCGTCCTGTATCACTCTCGCTACCGCACCCTTCCTTTCGGCCTCCTACATCCCTGACCGCATGCACAACCCGCCCAGTCCCCTCGGAAACCTCTGCTCGCTTGATCGTCCACACGACACACAGATTCACCGATATCAAAAGGCGTGAAATCAATCGAATCTTTGTAATAAAAACTTTCGACATAAACTTTCGGAAATTTTTACAACTAAAATGAAGTATGTTATAAATGCAAGAATGCGAATTTATCTAATTATAATGCGATATAAATTTGGAAGCGATTAAAAATCACAGAAAAATAGAAGCAGGTTTTTTTATTATTATTCTTCTGATCAATTTTGATCTTTATCGTTTATACAGTTCTCTCTAATATAATTTATATAGTTGTAATAAATGTTTCATATAATTATGTTTTATATAATTATTTTATTATTTCTATTTAAAAAATTATACATTCTTCTGTTTCTCTTTTTTTTTTAGCTCTGATCCACGAGTATTGAAGGCATACAATCACACGGACATTATTCTGAGGTTACCCGGAGGAAAACGTATACGAGACATCAAGTGGCTGAGCGTTTGGTGCAGGAGATTTACGGTGAGTAAATTGCATTGATCGATCAAGATCTCGAATAATATATTACACGCGTTTCCCACATGCTGGTTTTATTAGAACAGAATCTGAGATTTAAACCTTTTTGTGTCGGCGAAATTTCAATGGATAAAATAGTATGAATATATACTATAAATAAATTATATCATAGCAATATAAAGAACCTTGTTATTAAATAATAAGCTACATCCAATGAAATTGTAAAAATATTATAACCAGCCATCTTTTAAACATTTTAAGTTTTTTGCTAAGTGAACAACACGATCAATAATTTGCGTAGAAATTTAGGGTCACATAATATACCTTATTTTTAAATTCGCATGGTCACGTCAATGGTCGCGCGTTAGTTCTTCAAGAATTTGCTCGTCCAGACATTCCCCGTTCGACTCCTCGATATATTGCACACGTTCTACTCCAAACGACACGCGACGCCCAGAGAATAGAGATAACTTGATTTTTGAGAAGGTTCAGAGAGAGGGAAGCTCTCTATCGGACGTGCATTCGAGGTCAATGGTGCGTATGAGATGGATACGAAAGCCAAGCTTCGGGATCTGACATGTGCGTATGTGCGCGTCTACGAGGCACACGTGTGTGGGTGGATAAGCCCTTCTCTTTTTTCGGCTTCTCCGGGCTTCTCCATTCGGGTGCACATCGGTCGAAACGATTCGGCATCTCTTTATCTCTCGGGTATCTCTTTCACGAGTGTGCAGACGAGTAAACACATGATACATCAATAATATCGTAGCGAAAATCGCTGTGAAAGAATATTGAAATTTACATGTATTACTTCAACTTTTTAAGGAATTTAAAAATATAATTATTTCAATCTATAGATGACATTCTACTCGAAAATCTCTTCTAACTATACGAGTTTATGTTCTTTGTTCTTTTTTTTTTGCATTTAATTCTACAATAAAAAGCTCAGTATTTTCTTTTCTATTTTTTTACTTTATTTGTTTCTTTCCCTTGCATGATGCACGCTTATTTTCGAGTTAATCCAGCTTAGCTCTTTCAATTCCTCTCATCAAGAAGTACACAAATTAAAATGTAAGATATATCCTCTTAAACAGATTCCACTCTTTCTCTCGCTTGAGCCGATGCTTAAAAATCTCGGTGCACGCATGAGAGTTTAAGTACGTTTAAGCGGGACTACTCTCAGTTTTCCCTCTCCTCTTTTATCGGGAGCACATGTATGAATATAACGACACACATACGCGATATATCGCCTTTCTAGGAAGGGGAAAAGGTTTGAGACGAGCATATCGACGATAGAGAGCAGAGCTTTTGCTCTTATATTAGAGGAGGGCTTTAATATCGAAGTCTGAGGGGTGCTCCCGTACCGTGACAACCCTCCATCAGACATGCTCTGTCACCGCAAAACGCGCTGTCCGCCGTCTACGGTCCATTCTACCGGGTGTCTCATTACGATCGCCGCGAGTCATCATTCGGGGTTTGGCATAAATTATCCTCGTTTACAGCCGCCCTACCGACGAGCATAAACTCGGGAGGGAAAAGATTTTTTATGGTTTCGTATAAAAAGGTTTCGTATAAAAAGTAGTAGCAGAAACGAGCTTCTTATTATAATGGCAAACGGTTGCCTATCAGTTATTACCAGTCGATTATTTTTATAATGGGAGAAGAGGGATATAATTACAATTTATAATATCAAAATTTAATTATAAAATATATATATATAATAAGAAATAAATTTTAAATATATATAATAAAAATATGCGGTTATATAATAAACAATTAGCATTTATATAATAATTTATATCTTCTGTAAAAAAATAAAGATTTTTACAAAACTATATGCATATTTACGTGTGAACAATATATGCAACAAAACGAGTTAAAAAACTATATATATATATATATATATATATATATATATATAGTATTTTATATATATAGCATTTTATATATATATATATATATATATATATATATATAATAGGTATGAGAAACAGTTTTCATGAGAATTCAATTCCAATATCTTTCTTAAATTGTGCGGAATGCATCGCCTTTAAAATATAATATATATAGATAATATTTAAAATTAAATATACTTCATAATTTTCTACATTCGCATTATATTATTATTAGCATGAAAATAATGAAAATAATAATGAAAAAAATATATTCGACCTTTCGTTTTTGGGATGTTTATTGTGAGATTGTCCTGAAACGGTACCAAAAACGTGGAATGTTTTCGATCAAACAAGATATTCTTTGATTATACCGGATCACAAAGGAAAATCTCATAATACGCATCATTCAAACATTTCTAAGATTTCCGGCTTCTACGTGCGTACTTCTCTTCCTACGATTTGCGGAGGAAGTGGAAAAATCTCTCTCTCCCTGTCTTGATCTCTCTACAGACTGATATCATATAGCATGTAGAAGGGAGATGTAGGTTTTGCTTAGATATCTGGTAGACAGGAGCTGTCTATCAGTCAGCACTTTTTCGCGTTACGTCCGGAGAGAGGATGTATTGTCAGAGTAAACCCTCTTCCCGCTCCTTCTTTCTCTTCCTTTGCTCATCCTTTCCTCTTGGTTCTCGGGATCTCCTTCCGTTTCCTCTCAAAGACACATCTCCCTTTCCAACAGCAATGTATCCTTCTTCCTTCAAATCCGTCGGGCTTCCTTTCAAAGGAACAGAGATATCCTTTGGCAATATCAAACCGCCGCTCAATAGACCACTGATTCAGGTAGGATTTAGTAATTTTTTTCTTCGTCTATCCTATCTTTCGGCCGCCGTCCGAAGCGGTCAGTCATGCTACTTTTATGTATGTGTATGTGTTGCACGCAGGGATGTTGCGAGAGGATGAAAACGATCTCCCATCATTTCATTGCGATCTTATGTAACAACAGCGTTCATTTTTCGCAAAAGAATTTGAAAGCTAGTGATTGATTTGTCATTTCACTTTTCCGTTTTCCTTCCTTCTATCTTTTCCTATACACTTCATTTTCTCTCTTTTTTCGTGTTTTTACGTTCCACATTGTAAATCCATGAGTAGAATGATATCGATCGAGTGAAAGTTTCAAATAGTATTCCATTTTCTCGGTTTATAAATATCATTTATTAGAAAAATGTTGAATATCTCGTATATAATAATTTGAAATTTGATGCGTTGCACAGTGAGAATGTAAATTAAGCGACCTAAGATATATCGTCTTTAATTTCCGGGGTTCAAATGTTGCATACTTTGCACGTAACAATGAATGATAACACCTGGAAAGTAATATAAAGTTTGTTTATGCAAATTACCTGTTTTGATATATTATTTTTAAAATATTATTACATTTTTCTATGAAAATAAAAATATTTATATATGACGTATAATGATAAGAGCATAAATATTGTGCACTTTATAATCTTTGTAATCTTGTATAATCTTTAATATATATTTTAAAACATTTGATTAATATATTGATGTCAAGTGTAATGTAAGAAAAATCTATTATTTATATCTTTTTTTAATTTTCCAATGATTAAAATTATTCTTATATGATTATTAAATAATACAAATATTACAAGAAAATTTCTAAAATTAAAAAAAAAATGAATGAAATAGCTAACGATAAAACTATAATAAAAATATATTTATGTGTTATAATCAATTTTTAACAATTAATATATTTCTAATCATGTATTCATAGTACTAAAAGTATATTATTGTGAAAATGTATATATTTCGATAAATTTAATAACTATTCACGAATCTCTATAAATATTCTATGCATAGATAAAAAAAAAGTTAAAATATCTTTTAGGGATACGAAATTAATAATTAATGTAATTGCATTAAATTAATGTAATTGCATTAATATCTTTTACGGGTATCATCGATTACAGTATTTTTCACTTTCTGGCTGACCTATGCGTGACATGAACTACTATGCCACTTGCGATTAGCTCGATTGCGTTTGTCGTTTTTCATAGCGTGACTCATTCGTGTATCTGATTAAACCAACAACAAATCGTGTAAAGGCAGACATCATGTTAAACTATCTCACCGATCGTGCATTGCATTGTGTTCATTGTTCGCATTATATTATACGACGCGATAAAATTATGTAAAATCCTTCCAAAATTTAAAATCATTGATCGTAATATATTTTATCGTAATGGCACATAATTTTGACGATTATGATAATATTTTCAAGCGAGACTTTCAAATATAATGAATGATAATTCGTTTCTTTCTACTTTCTCTTGTCGTCTCCTTATCCTTCGAAAAATAACGTTATTTTTGAGAAACCAGATTTTTCAAGGGAAAAGAAAAAAGCAGACACTTTTGACACGTTTCTTTTTTTATGTCTTTTTGGAGAGTTTTCTTTTCTCGCTGAAATGGCGATATTTCCGAATGAAATCTAGCTCGCACGAAGTGTCAGAAGTCGGTGTTCGTTCTGTTAGCCGCGTTCTAGTTGGAAAAAGAAATGATTGTTCCATAGTCATGTCACACGACATTTGCATGTGAATTCTCCGGTCTCTTTTCTAGGCGTCCCGGGGTTAATTAAACGCCTCATAGTTTTCGGGGTGGAATGACGAAGTACGATTGCTTCTGGCACCAAGTGGACGATCCGACCCTGTGCTTGAGAGAGCGTCAATTAATAACCGCTTAGAATAGATTCCTGGCGTGAATTCTCAAAAGAGCGCACAAGTGGAGAATCGCGTCCTGATCAGACATAAGCTCCTCTTGCCGATATCGTGCAAAGTAGTTTCTCAATATTAATAGATATTCTAAAATGTTTAACAATCTTTTTTTTAATAATCTCAAATACTGAATATAATTTATTTATGAAAGAAATATATCTTTAATGCATTTTATTAAGCGCGTTCTTTTCTCTATATTCATAATATTTTTCTAAAATTGTATGTGCAAATGTTAAGATATTATTATTATTATTATTGTTTGCAGTTATTACAGATGATTTAAGTGAATATGTATGTTGCAATATTCTTTTATATATTCTCGTAT